GAGGAGATTGTGCTCCGCTCTATCACCTCCGCTTGTTGCGTCCCTTCTATGCTCCTTGTTGCCTGATGCCCTTCTATCGCTCCGCTTGTTGGCTCCTTCTATTCACCTGCCCTTGTTGCCTCCCTTCTATCGCCTCCTCTTGTTTGCGTGCCGCTTCTATCGGCCTCCCTGTGTTGCCTCCCTTCTATCGCCTCCTTCTGTGCCTCCTTGTCTGACGCTCCCTTCTGTTGCCTCCCTTCTATCGCCTCCCTTGTTGCCTCCCTTCTATCGCCTCCCTTCTATCGCCTCCCTTCTATCGCCTCCCTTGTTGCCTCCCTTCTATCGCCTCCCTTCTATCGCCTCCGCTTCTATCGGGCCTCCCTTGTGCCTCCCGCCTTCTATCCCTCCCTTGTTGCTCCCTTCTATCGCGCTGCGCCATTGTTGGCCTCGCCTTCTAATCGCTGCCCTTGTTGCCTCCTTCTATCTATCGCCTTCCCTTGTTTCCTCCTTCTATCGCCTCCCTTCTATCGCCTCCCTTGTTGGCCTCCCTTCTAATCGCCTCCCTTGTTGCCTCCCTTCTTGATCGCCTCCGCTTTCTATCGCTCCCCTTGTGCCTCCCTTCTATCGGCCTCCTTTGTTGCCTCGTCCTTACGTATCCGCCTCCCTTCTAAGTCGCGCTCCCTTGTTGGGCCTCCGCTTCTATGCGCCTCCCTTGTTGCCCTCCGCTTCTATCGCCTCCCTTCTATCCGCCTCCCTTGTTGCTCCCTTCTATCGGGCCTCGCCTTGTTGCCTCGCTTCATGCCACTCCTTTGTTGGCCTCCTTCTATCGCCTCCCTTTCTATGCGCCTCTCCTTGCTCCGGCTGCATGCACGCGGCTGAACGTACGCAATACGCATGCACATGCGCATGCAATACCATGAACACGCCAAAAAATGCGTGCTGCCCCCAAACCGTACGGCGGCTGCACGCACGCATACACGTACGCGGCTGCACGTACGCGGCTGTACGTTACCACGATGCTGATGACAGATTCTAACAATGCTCCCGCTGCATCGCTGCAACAATGCGGCTGCGAATGCGCATACCTTGATCATCTCGTTGCGATGTGACTCAGGATCGAGTCCAGAAATTGGAACAATCTTGATCTTCTGCGTCTTTGAGTAGCGGTCAGCAAGAGACAGCGTCATCTTCTTGTGAGTCGCGCTGTCGGTCGAGTGTGGCCTGAAACAAAAACAAACGCGCAGAGTTACACGACAAACAAGAGCAATTGGAGATAGCAAACCTCCGCCACAGCGTAACAGCCCCCCCATCTTGCTGGTACACCCAATATCGTTTGATGAAATTATCAGAAATGTAAAATAAAAAGATCCAGGATTTTTTTTTTATGGATTTTGAATGCGTCCGAAGTCTTCCCCACAACAACAACAATTTCTTTTAAATCCTGGGTCCAGATCTGGATCCAGATCACCACCAAAATCTAATTGATTGGTTGTTGGCTCAAGACCAACCCATCCAAAATATTTCATCAAAATCCATCCGTAACTTTTTGAGATATCTTGTTGACAGACAAACAAACCAACAAACACACAAACGAACTAACAGGGGCAAAAAATATAACCTCCTTTGCGGAGGTAATTACCGAGTCGTCTGATGAAACCCGCGGAGTTATAACAATCAGTCGCTGAGTCGTTCAGTGAAGCACGCAGTTATTCGACCGATCGACGACGATCACTTATTTATATCGATTAATCGTTTTAATTCGGTTGACTTTGCCAAACCCGCCAATACATGAAAGCAGACAACAATGCATGACGTGCGAAATGTGGCAAGGCAGAGGTCAACAATTCCATTGCCCGGCAATGACGCGATATGACGATGTCACTCCACGATGGACACATGACATCGCTGTCATCGCTAAGATTGCAGTGACAAGATTGCAATGTAACTGCAGCTCACTCCCACCACCACCATACCATACACTCCTACCGCATAACGCTAATGCGTGTATCAAATCTAAATTGCTTTCTCTTCTTATATTCAAGCTGTTATATCATCATGAGGCTAAAGCCACATTTTAATCGCCACGTGTGCGGGACCCGGCGACAATGCAACGATCTGTCGGCAACATACTGCTGCATTGTTCAGATTGTTCATGAGTGTTCAGCGACTTGGCAACAAATATCAAACATGTTTGATATTCCAGCGACGAGTTCCTGGCGTCAAAATCGCCATCGCCATGCAGCGCACACGTGGCGATCTCTCAGTGATTCTGTCGCCGGCAACAAAATCGCCAGTACTAGCGATAAAAATCGCCACGTGTGCGCTGGGCTTAAGGCTACACATGAGTCCATTGCGAACTGGTAACTCAACTCACATCATCCTCGCTGTCCAAATTGTGCGCGTCCTCCTTCTCCTTTCTGCTTTCGTCGCTGTCTGATGAGTAGATGGGCGGACGATCCCCTGCACCACAAGCAAGTCATGCACAATATCAAATATGGCCACCACAGCTACCTCCATTGAG